CACAAAGTTAGTCTCAAGTCATTGTAAACAATGAACATCTAGCAAATATTCCTGTATAACAAGTATAAACCTGAAACTAAAGGCATTTTCCATTTAATGACCAGACCATGAAGTGCTTTAAGCTTTAACTGAAGCAGAACAGAAGGTCTCCGTGTGGCTTGTTTTGTTTCGTAATAGCATATGCTTGTTTGTCCCTTTGACATTTGTGTGAGGCCAAATTTTGTGAATAATGCACAGTTGTTTTGCATAGCTAAATGTCACGCCCACTGCAGTCTGGCAGAAGAGGAGAAGGAACAGAAGCACTTTTTGTGTTTGACTGGTGAAGTGAACGGACCGTGGGGGTTCCTGCAGCAAGACCCAATAAAAATTGTCTCTAATAAATACCAGTGTAGATATAGTACCTATGTCATCTCATCAAAAAGCAACTAACTATAAGCAATACACAATTCCACTTCAGAAATGGAGGATATTACATGTCAGTGTGTACCAAATATAGACCAAAAATGATTTAGCTAAGGCATGTGTTCCCCAAAGCCTGTCTAAATGCCATCTTCCGCTCTCAAAGGTCATTAGTTTAAGAATCTGTGGGAGGAAGTTGGTTCAGACAAAATGATAGAGTTGAGCTGGCTCTAGAGCAGACTTCTTCAGCTTTTTAATCTCTCTGGTGAGCTGTGTTTGTTGCAGGCTAAGCCCCCAGATGCCTGGACAGTATTGGCATGAACGCACCCGAGGAAAGACATTGAAGGGAGAGGAGTGAGAGAAAGCAGAGACGACAGATGTAGTCAGTTAGAATGAGTCTCACCATGTTATTTTGTCTGCTTAACCGATTCAGTATACTTTAGTCATCCTAGCAATGGTCAATGGTGTTATTTTACACACAAGTAAACAGAAAGATGAAGCACCTGAACACATGGAGTAGAAGCTGTTGTTTCAAGGGTCACATGTTTTAGGAAAAGGCTTCACCCTTTCCCGTTTTGAAGGGACATGAGTAGTTTTTAAATTTGCGCATATAATCAATATCAATACCAAAACTCATGGAAGCAAGCAGATTCAATTTATTTTTGTAAATCCCACTTTAACAGCAGTTGCCTCTTAGGGCTTAAATATAAGAATTTTTAGAGCAATGGCATCTTGATTGCAAGAGAATAAAGCTAAGTGAAGATGCATGAATCACTAAATACAACTTGGAGTGAGTTAATGATGGGGAAACCATTATAATATGGTTAAAAGCTCTTAAAAGTCGATTTTGCATAATGTCTCTCCTTTAAATTCAAAGGGCTACAAAGGAAGTGCTTTAAATATACACAACATTAAATAATACAGAATGATATTTTATTTTCTGAGAACAATACATTTTTGTTAACACTTGCCTGTAAATATCCATTGGAATATTTCCCATTTTATGGTCACTTGACTTGAGCAAATAAATACCCATGCTTATAATATAAGAATGAAATGCTATACGACATTTACACCTTTTCAACACAAGGGCATGGTTAACGAAAAAGATATATTGCTATACTATTTATTCTTTGAATGCTACAATTTGTTATGGTATTTCAGAGCTTGTGGGGTTTATTTGATCCTGAAAAATGTGCAGGTGACTTTGATTGAACAAAATGAGTGTAACATTGGCTATTGGCAGAACAGAAGCTGGGTTAAGCAGTTCTAACACAGCAGCCTAGTGCCTAACATCCAGCTGTACGTTTCATATAGGTGATTAATAACTGTTCCCTATGGGCTGGGCTGCACAGAAAATTGAGTGTCGCCATCTTAAACATACAATACAATCATCTCTCTCATTCCTCTCCCACTTCCCTTGGGCATACAAATGGCCTTGGCCACTTTAATGGATGGTATGCACACAATTAGCACATATATTGGGTATATGCAGAAGGTAAGACTACTCAAATGAAAGTGTGTCCCAGTTACGAAACATTACTTGTGGTGGAATCTTAGGATTTAAACTCGCACTCAAAGCTGTGCAAAAGAATACACTTTAGAGTCAAAGTGGTCATCAGTGCAAGAACGTATAGAAGTCTTGCCTCAGCCTATATTTTACAGATAATTTAGCTTTGTTTATTTCTTTGCTTGGTTTGCATGGAGGAACCAATGAACGTTGTCTCGTCCTGACTTTCTCATTGTATTCTACATAGAAAGAAGTCTGATACTGTAATTTCAAAGAGGCACTAACAGGTGCAGAGCAAACCAATTAGAGGCAATGAGTGTAAATGTGTACCTGTTCATTTTCTTCACGCTGAGATGCGATAGGTGGTAGATTTATTTATTTTTTCCATACCCATAAAAAAACTTTTGTACAGTATGTTTGTGTTTAAATTCACTGACCCTAAAGTTGAAGTCTGTTATACTAGTCCAACCAAAAATTTTAACATTGCAATCTATTGTAGCTCCATGGTGAAAAGAAACGCTGCAACTCAGAAAGCATTAATAAATCATGGTTATAGAGCACCATTGTTGGCTGCTGCTTGCCTCTGTAGCCACTGAGTAAACTAACTGCATCCCGGCTCTTGTCTGTGGGCACACCCTGCATCATAATCCATGCAGTTAGCTAATTATACAGCAATTAAGATTCAGATAGGAGAAACAGCAGGTTGGTCCGCCCCCCCAGTGACAAATGATCAACACTGTGTCTATAAATGACTCGCTTTGATAACTCCCCTTGACCTGGACTTATGGATTAAATTCCATTCAGTTAGTTAATGAACCAAAGAGAACAACCACTGATACCAATTTAGTGTTATTAAAACAATTAACTAATAATCAATCTATTAATAATCAAAAAACTATATATAAAAAGAAGGGTTTTATCTTTAATTATACAATGGCCGATAACTTGCAAGATTACTGAGTCAAATTTATGTGTAGCATATAAAATTCTGGTGAAAGTATTTAAAATGATCATTACATAACTTTGCAGAACCGTAACCTTAACTAGGCACAGTAAGTGCTATTTTATATTTATCCCCAGTGGGATACTGATACTATGGACTGTTCTGAACAAACATATTACAAAAAAGAAATAAGTAAAAATAACCATGAAGTTCCAAAGGAGTGTTTTTAAGAAAGTCAAGGTGATGAAGCAGGAGCTAGTGATGTAAGAAACTGAATCAGAGGAATAAGTGGAGACATAAGAGACACCGAAAATCTGCAAGCACATCAGACCTCATTAGCTGAGAGGTGGTTAACAAGTCCAATTAGGGGCGTAGGCAGGCAGACAATTACACCAGACTCTCTTCTGGACCTCAGTTGCACACACTTTCATCCAATACATGATCACACGTACACATACACACACATAGACAGTCATAGATTTCTAAATGAAGCTTAAGGCACCCTGTAACTAGGTCAAATCCCTGAGAGTTTAAGGCATAGGGTATAACAGGAGTGGAGTGGAAAAGAGATATTGAGAAAAGATAAAAGGCATAAGATTTTTATTCCAATGGGGTGTATTTGGTGAGATTGAGGTTTAAATAAGCAAAAGAAGAGTCATTTTGCTTAGTCCAACCCGCTACTGCTTTGGTTCCCCTTTTTACATTAAAGTGGATATGACAGATTTTCATGTTTTTCTAATTTTGGTGAGAGAGTATCTGTTATAAATAATTATCATAGTTTTACAGCAGTTTATGTGTCAGTTTATGGAAAAAATGCAGCAAGAAAAGTACAAAAATACAGGAAGTAATGATGAGTTAAAGAAAATACCTCTAACTATGTCACCAACACCAAAAATTCTATAAAAAAAATTCAGAGACAATTCATTCGCAAGGGAGTCTTATTACTGCCACTGTAAACCTTCATTTAACAACATAAATAAATGCTGACATTTGTTTTTATTAGTCTTATCCAACTACCGTGTAATGTAGGTAGGTCTTGGCTCTTGTTAACATTATGGTTGCTAGGTAAGAACTGTGAAATTACTGATACATATGTCATATTTGCTGCGTGTACTCAATCCGGAAGTAAAATAATTATAAATTTCGCCAAAATGTAAAAACTAGAAAAAATTGGCAAGATTTATTTATTTATTTTTTGTAAATTCTTTAATATAATGATGTTAACTATGTTTTAGTGAAATAACCAGCCTAACTCATCATATATTCTAAACTGTTCATTAAAAACACAAATCGATTTTACCCACACTGCTAGTTTGTGAAGCCTCTTAAACAATGCTATTGCCTGTGTTAGTAAAGTTATTCAGTCTGAGTGATGGCTTGCCAATGCTCCTGAGGGTTGACACGGTTACGCTGCCTTGAAGTGGTGATGACTGGATGTCAGTTGTAGAAAGACACAAAACTGCCTCAGTGTGTCATTTGTGCTCCCTTTGCTCCTCCAGCCTCACTGATAGAAAATATTGTCTCAATCATGTTTGGATAGTGCTGCAAGTGTGATACTTGTCCAGTGGTTTAGGGAATTCTAATGTATACTTGCCAAGTGTACTGTCTATGTGTGGTTTGTTCATTTGCTATGCACCCTGTTAATGTAACAGATACTTACTTATGATTAAGCACTTGGTGGTGTCAAGTTTGTGCTATGTAACTTGCACTGCAGCAAGTTAAAAGTACACATACAGAAGCAGGGGGAATAGTAAATATGCCAAACCATGAATAAAATGCAACAAAAAGCACCAGAAGTGCAAAACTAGAGACTACAGCGTAAATTCTTTAACTGAAAGTAAAAGTGCCTTTGCTCATCATGCCTTTAAAAATCCATGGCCAGTCAGTTTTTCTTTTCATTTTTTTCCCTCAAAGTCAGAAGCATGGTACTCAAGTGATACCATAGTTACATTTATTGCACTAAAAAAAGCTTTGCAAAGTGACACAAAGTGTTATAAAAGACTTTCACAGACACTATTGCAGCAGACTCTGTAACTCAAAATGGTGAAGTTACAGTTATAGGCTTTTTTAAACCCAGATTTGATTGTTCTCTGAAGTGACACTAAAGCCCAAGGCATTGATGGCATTTTACAGTCAGATTTGTCTTACCAGTCTCTGGGTGACACATCCCATGATGGTGGCAGTTGCAGGGAACACATGCTGAGAGTGGTCCTCTATCAGGCTGCTCCCTGGTGAATCCTGGGGAGCACTGCTCACAGAACTGGCCCATGAAGCCTGCTGGACAAGAGCAGAACTCCACCCATGGGGCAGGGGGACTCTCTGCTCGAGTGGAGATGAAAGCCGAGGTCAGGATCACCCCAGCCAACTGTGCCGTGTCTGCAATGAAAATGGAGGCTTGAGCAAATTGAAGCTTACAAAAAGTCAAAACAACATTTAAGTCATGCTAGATGAAGTTTTGAATGCACTCGATTTTCATTCAAAGGGTGAATATTTATTGTTACATAGCTAGTAAAACAGCAGGCTATTCACATGTTGGGCTGCTCCAGCCCTCCCTCACTGTCTCATTAAAGCACTGGGTCAGTGTTTACAGTGTACAGTCTCCCCTTTTCTCTCATCGATGGATGGCAGTAACATATTTATCCGCCCACCAGTCCATAAATGCTACACTTAATGCTCACTTGCACACACACGTGGGCATGCCACATGTGCCCACACACGTCCGCTCGTCACCAGGGGAATCTTTGATATAGCAAATGAATAAATCACTGCAGCAGAGCAAGACGAGAAGAAGAAAAGAAGACAGGAGGCTTGGCGGAGGTATGTCAGACGTGCAGCTCCGGTGGGGTTTCAACATTCCTCTCCACTCTCATGAATAGTGATGGGGCCAGGCCCATCCTGAACCGAATCCCCCTAACCCTCCACTCTCCAAAGCACAGCCTTGCAAACACAAAATTACTTTTGTTTCTGCTTCATTACTGAGGCTGTGCTCTCAGAAGAGATGGAGGCAGGTGGAGAGCGATAGACAGACAGGTACACAGAATAGTAAACCACAGATGATTTATGCACGTTTTCATTTACTGAATAATAACCACAAAATGGAGACCAAGTGAGAATGGAGACCATCTGAATGTGGGAGCAATTCCGCTATTTACGTAGTTTATAATAAAACTCATAATAAACATATATTTGGTTAAAATGACGTCCATAATATAAATTCCTACATATTTAACAGTATAAATATTTATGGATCTATCATGCAATATTCAAAAATCCATTAAACTGTTTCATAAATAAATACTTCCTTACTTGCTTAATTTCAACTTATTTTTTGCATTGCTTTTTTGTGTTTACTTTGCTTTTTTCTGCTTTGTTACATCACTTACAAAGGGAGACTGCATAGTACAGCCAATGTGGCATAAAGAAAGTGTGGTGAAAGAAGTATGAGTGGTCAAAGTGTAGATGGACCTTGACTTTTTACAAGAGTATAAGAGCCATTGCTTGAGTGCTGATGAAACCAGTTCATTTGCACCTCAGAGGAACCATCAGTAAGCACGGCCATACTTCTCCCCGCCTTAGCCTCTACCCTTTTAGCCTCCTCTCTATCCAAGCAATTCTATTAGCCCATTCAACAGGGGAGAATGTGCAATTAAAATGACTTCTTAGAAAATGAACCCTATTCCTGGTTAAATTAAACATATTTCATTTTACGTCACACCGCGTGTGCCCTCTCCATCAATCCTGCTTGTGAGAATGCCTGTCGGGACAAGTGGGGATTTTAATTTCATTGAATGGCTGGCTGCAGAGGTGTGTGACAGTTTGGGTCAATTTAACTAGCAGTTTATTAAGCCATTGAACCATTGATTCCTCATAAAATCTGCGTATGAATACTTGCCAACTTCAAAACTAGATTTTTATGGCTAACAGATAGAGAGACCAAACGATTTGATGGCAGACAAAACCAATCTTTGTAGTTTCAGTTTAACTCCAATATTATTATTTTCAATATATTATTTATTGTGATAAATAATGGTGAAAATGGTTGGAGACATTTTATGACATTGAAACTGTTAAGGCATTAACCTGTAATATTTCAGTGAAGCATTTCAAGTACATAGTACTTCACTGTATATCTGAAATAAGTGCTACAATCAATATAACACTATTTACAGTAAAAATTGCATATTATTATCTCTGATGTGGCATGCATGACAATTATTCAACAGCTCACATGTCTACGATAAGTAATTGATAAATAATGACATTTCTCTTCTAACAATATTTGAGGAGACCATGATGCAATGTTTTTTGGGTAAATTGTTTGCTTGGGTTTGTTTGGTAGTTCATGTGGGTGGGTTGTTTGATGGAATATGCATGGCTATTTTGTGTCGCAATGGCCTGCAATAAACTGATTAAAGTGAAGCAAGTAAATGTGTGGCAATATGGTAATTCAGACCAGCTGTTCCGTTTTCATGGAGCTCTAATCTGCCTTAGATCCTGTACTTTTCAAACACAACAGATGATACAAGGAACTGGCTGACATAAAAATAAGAGAAGGTTTCAAGAACTAGTTAGTTACATTTGGGAATAAATGTCCTGTTTTGAGTTTGACTTCAACTATTCCCTAACTACAAACACTGGCACGGTTTTTGCTGCTGGCTTCACTGCACTTTTTAACAATTCATGCTCATACTTGTGCTGACAGTTTTTATTATTAAAAGTAGTGAAACTCTGGGGATGTTACTAGGACACTACAGCTGTGTTATCAAAGATGGAAGTAGCTGTTTTTGTTTTTGCTATTATTACTATTATTGAAAACTAGTGTTTGCAGTTAGAACACAGCATAAAAAATATCCTTGCTCTGAGAGAACTTTCTGAAGTAGAAGAATACTTACTAAGCTACCTCTTAAAAGCAATATTAATATTCTGTACATGAGGTGTGATAACATCGGAACTGTGATTTCAAAACATTGGAATACCATTTTTGGGGTAAAGCCCATCCCTCTAATACAATATTACATAATATTTGGCAAAATATACAATAACAGGACTATCTACAGCTTTAATTAAGCATAAAGAAAAACTTAATAATGAAGTAGTAGTAAGTAGTCACTAAACCTGAATTATTCTTAATAAACTATTTGCTAATTGCATATTAAGCCCATGCTCATTTATGGCTAATTAAGTTGCAGTGTTACCTTTAAGCATTCGATTGCTACTTACAATTGTGTCCTCCTGCATTGCTAATCTTGAAAGCAGTCAAGTTGTTTAGGAGAAGTTGAAAATTAAATGAAGACAGTGATGGTCTAAATCTCGTCTCATGTTCGTGCAGTCTGTAAAACACAAACACACATAAGGTCAATCACCCCATCAATATTAACGTCTACTTTACACAGTAATTAAAGCTCTGTACCTGTAAGTAACTGTATTGGCCATATGCTTGCTTTTTAAGGTGTCTGGCCACAACAGGCCGCGTATGGCCACAATGTAAATGTGCTGACTTGAGCAAATAGAGGGGGTCTTGATCATTGAGCTTTGCCATCTGCTGCAGTAGGCTGTGCACAGCTGACATCTGCCCGTTGTGCTGCAGGTATCAGACTCTGCTCCATCTCCATGACAGGTGCTGTGTCAGCTTCACTCCGCTCATGTTATGTTAGGAAATGTCCCCTTACTATCAAGTTAATGTCCCAAAGGGAGCCAGCCCAAGCGTGAAGGAACGTATACACCAGGGTCTAATAACGTCACTGCCAAGTACAGGTTAACACGGCACCTTATTGTTGTAGAATGGACAAGTCATATTCATGGTATGCAGGCACAGAAAAAGACAAAATGGTACTTTTGCGACTTCATGTTTTGAGAGAAACTGCTTTTTCTTCTATTATGTCATGCCAATGCAAATATTGCTACTCAAGTGCAATATTTGGTCTTGCTGCTAAAACTGCATATCATACAACACAATAGTCACTAGCACAGGCTTATGACCAATGATTTTCTAAATATTCTTGGATGCAAAATGACCAGTATTTCTATTTGGTTTACTTTCAACATTACCATTCCAAGGCCTTCACATCAAATCACCAGCCTCCAGGTGCAGTGATTTGCTTAAATCATTTGACAAACATTTAACACTTTTCTGACACTATTCAATTCATTGAGCGACACAAAGACTGCACTGCCTTGTGGGACATTTTGGTTGCATTTTTATTCAAATATTAGTCAGCAATCTTTGATATTTTATCTGATTAACTGTCTTAATGAAACATGTTTGGGAATAACAAACAACAAACTAACAATATATTCAATATTAGCTCATTTTTAAACTGCTCTGACCCCCTATGGCCAAGAGTGAGACCACACTACATTTTTTCTATGATCAAGAGATATTACAGATTTTTGGAGGGCCCCTTTTTTACACTAAGCCCTGTGTAAACAAGCACCCTTTGCCCCCTCAGTCTGACACCACTGCCAATGGCTCTGAAATATTAATACATTTAAAAGCGATAACAATGTGGTTCTCATCTAATAAGCTGCAACTTACAATCCGTTTGTGCTCATAAGTCCTTTTATTGAAGGCAATTGTCTGAGAAAAAAAAAAAAAAAAAAACTTCTCTTCATTGCTGTGGCTACCATTTTTACCCCTGTCAGCCTTTACATTTCTGTGGGTTTTGTGGTCTTCCTTTTATTAGTTCAATTGTTCTCAGCATGTCACTAAACCACATTTAAAACGCTTTTCAAGCCTGGCCTCTGTCTTCTCTTCACATTTACAGTTGTTCATAAAAGATATGTGTGTGTGTCTTCATGGGCTGCCACAGTGGTGCTCCAGTGATGTGGGGGCTCCCTGCTCCCTGGCCTGACATGGAGGCACAGTAATAAAGAGAGGCAATTACAAACTGGGCCTCAAAGCCATGGTAATGGAGCTGGTCAGACAGCGATAAGCAGTGTGTGCATGAAAGTGAACAAACTCCCAGCCATGCTTTCCCTATGGAGCCCCAGTGTCCCTTTTAATCAGCACCAAGCAGAGCACAAAGAGCCATGCTGTAATTAAGCCCCTCTGCCGAGGATCAGAGCAGATCATCAGGAGAAAACCAACCCAACACTGGCCTCACAATGACACAAACCATAAATAAATACAGATATAAGAGGGGTAGAAGCAGGCACAAGAACTGCTCAAGAAAAATGAAGGGACAGACACAGGTGCTATGTTGGGATAAGCACACGAATAATGTATGTTCTCTTCTAGGCTGTTTATGCATAGGCCAGTTAATGAGCACAGAAACATCATGTTAACATGATTCACGCTTGAAGAACATGGAGTTGTACACCTTTAATCTGAAGCTTCTACAAGACATATTACATTTATTACAACCAAACATATCCAGTAAACGACAAAACTTCACTCCTGTGTAAAGAAGAAAAGTTTGGCATCAAAGCTATATTCATACAACACAGTATAAACACATGCTGTAATTAGAAAGACGCTTTATTTTAGACATATCACATGTAAATAATTCTAGGCTAGTGACTCTACTGAAGACTAATGGCTTGCTTGACCTCTGTTGAACAGTGACATGATGTAAATAATGTATTTGTTTGTTATTGTGGTTTAGAACAAACAATAGTGTAAAAATGTGTAATTAGTGCAAGAGGTCATTTAAAACCCCTCTTCCCAGAGAAGCACTAAGGGGACATCACAGAGTAGATATCATGCCATATGAAGCTTTCACCTCCTCTTTGATCCTTTTAGCTCAAATCCCAATGCTTTTCTACTATTCTCCTTTATCTGAGTCTGAAATTAATTCTGTTCCAGGTGGGAACACAAGAAACACTTAACTGGTTAACATATTTACGAGCTCTGAAATCATATGCTGTCAGTCAAGGGACATATGGTGCACCACTCTTTTAAAAGAAGCACTTCGATTCATGCATATAATCTAAAAACATGTTTTGATGCAGGAGGAGTTGAAGGCAAACCACCAGATGGTAATAGAAATAATATGTTTTGTATAGACTATCATGGTCAAACATACTTAAGATATGAGTTTGGATATGAGAGAGGTGGTAAAGAAAATTCTGGTGCTGAGGTGCATCTGTGCGTTTACATGTAAAGTGTAATGAGATTTGTGAAGAACTTCTCCAGAGACAGAACACTTAATGATAGCACTGGTCCCTAGCTCCAATGCGTTTCAGGGGCTACTTTGGCTCTGGGAACTCATTAGCTGTGTGCACTCACTAGAGAAAGCACTGGAGGTACCAGAATTGACACAAGACCCAGCACATGCCCCAGGCCGGGGATTGGAGGAGGGGGGCACCTGACATTGAGCTTAGCTGAGCTGGTGACTCTGCCCAGTAACTAGTTTGGTCTGATGTGCTTTTTCAATTTTGTCTTTAATCTTTGAACTGGCTATATAAAGCCTTATTCTGGACCTAGCCTTGGTATTTTATAGGGCTGCAACAATTGTTTTGTTGCAGTGTGACACTGACACTCAGAGCAGTGCACTGCTCTTGTGGTCACCACCTTTGAAGCTGCATGCACAAGACCACATGTTCAGATGATAACTATTAATTTATTGAGGGAAATGTGGTGGGCTCTGATGTCCATCGAAAATAAACCTCTACCTTGTTACTTCTAATTATTCTGAATACGTATTTAAACTGCACTGAGACCTTTGGTAAATGGTCAAATTTTTTAATAGCGCTTGTCCACCTTCAAGGCACTCAAAGCGCTTTACAACAAGGAACCACTCACCCATTCACACGCACATTCACACACCAGTGTACGCAGACACTGTGGGCAAGGTGGGTTAAGTGTCTTGCCCAAGGACACAACGGCAGCATTCATCTGTGGGAGCTGGAATCACACCAGCCAACCTGTGGGTCAGTGGATCTGACCGCTCAACCTGTGATGTTTATGTCGAGAGCTGGAATCAAACCTCCAACGGGGCGTATGCTCTACCAACTGAGCTACTGCCGCCTTTGAGTGAGGCACAAAGGCCTCGCAACTGCAACAGTTTACTGCAACAAAACTTGAATGGTGTTATGATTTGAATGGCAGCGTGTGCAGACATAGAGGCTCATCACTCTCCCAGTGGTTGTCCACTCATGAGATAGAAAGAAACATATTTTTGATTCCTTTGTATGTCTAGTACATGTGAAGAAATTGAACTTTTGAACTTTAAACTTGCTGCTACTGCACCAGAGGAGCACTGCGTGCAGGGTGAACCTGTGGTAAAACCACAGATTGTATATAAATGAACGTAGCTAACATGCTAGCGGTCGTGTTCCAAATAGGAAGTGAGCATTGGAGCGCTTTGAGCTCCTTCTGACCCTTCTGTAACTGTAGCTGTGACTCATCATTTTGTCTTAAAATGTTTTAACCCGCTCTAAATCTAAATTCACCCCTGTAACTGCTTAGCCTGATTCATCAGTCGGTTTCACTTTGTGGAAACTGTCTGACCTTGTAGTGTTAGAATTCGTTCAGTCGATGGCAGGTACTTTTTTAAATTTAACCAATCGCTGCTGTTTGGTCGTGACGTATGTCATGCACTGCTAACGGGGCTAACATATATGTATATTAAGCTTTTCCCAAATCCTGTAGGAAGAAGGGCAACTACGTTTTTCCCTGTGATAAAATTCACCAAACATTCTCTTTGTTCTGGCTTTAAATCCTTGATCTCGGGAATCATTGACAACACATAATATAGGGTGACCAAACGTCTGTTTTTCCCCGGACATGTCCGTATTTTGCGTCCTGTCCGGGGCGAGGTGAGAGTACAGTGTTCCCTCGTTTATCGTGGGGGTTACGTTTTAAAAATAACCCGCGATAGGTGAAATCTGCGAAGTCGTCTGCTTTATATTTTACAATTATTCTATCTGTTTTAAGTCTGTAAAACCCCTCACCACAAACTTTATACACTTTTCTCAGACAGGACAGGCGCAACCCTTTTTACTTCCTTCTTAAAACTTATTGCTGCTGTCGTCCTTGTGTTATTTTCCTCCTTCTTTATGTAACGAACTGAAGATTCATTTATTCTGTAATGGAGCCCAACAGCGCAGAGTCCTGCACGGGGTCAATTTTGGAGACCCCCAGTACAACACCACGCAGTACAACACCGCAACTGCGCAGGACAGGACCACACCTGCCCATTAACTCAAGATTATATAAAACTTTTGCGCTGCCTACGCCACGGACTGAACCAAGACTAAACCAGGACTAACCCAGGACTGATTCCAGGACTGAAGAGGAGGACTAATCCACGACTGAACTAGGACTGAAACAGGACAAAACCAGGACTAAACCAGAACTGAAACAGGACCCACCGTCAGGACGGGCTCAGAGGTGACTGCAGGAGAAAGGATCGGCTCAGCTCCGGACCTCACGGAGATAAACGCGTCAATTATCCGATCGCGCTTTGCGGACAAACTGCTCTGCGTTCTCTCTCTTAAGTCCAAGATTAGTCCTGGTTTAGACCTGGTTTAGTCCTGACCCACCCGTGTGTAATTACTACCCGCCTGTATATGGCTCTTCGCTGAGTGGCTTGTGCCCAAACTCGCACTTCTGGAGTTTTTGCGAACCATCTAGTGTATTATGATTCCTGACCTAGTGGCTGGAGAGAAATGAAATTGCGCGGAGACACTAGGTTGCGCCAGCCTAGCTAGTAACAGCTAGCATCGTGAGCTTTATTTGACTAGAGCTGAACACTGTGGGTGATGTTACACTCCCTTAATATGTGTGATTTCAATACTATAATATATCAACTTAGTTTTCAGTCACAAGGTTTTCACCAATATTTAGTTCAAAGGTATTTGAAAAATCTCAGTGTACAACTGAAACAATCGTTTCACAAGTCCATTAGTCTACTCCTAAATTAATTCTTAGTCTAATCAAGTCTAGTCTAGTCTTTTATGAAGAACTTTAAATAATGCACGCATCTTTATAACTAACTCAAAAACCCTTAACTTTATAAAAATACTTTTTGCCCCTAAAAGCAATGTCCTTGTTGAAAAGTAATTTATTAAAACATCTAATTCAATTGCCGGCCTTTATCCAAATGGCTGTATTTGCTCTCCCATCAGACTGGACCCTGACACTGGCCTGCTCCAGCTCATGCTTTAATCATCTCCCTTCTGAACTACTGCTGCTACTTTGCCTCTAGCCCCATAAGCTACCTTTTCTTTTAGAGTCCTTTCAGAGGCCTGTAGCTAGCGTTATGTTGTTACTGAAGTGGATAAATGTGATCCCACAAGTACAGAGTCTCCACAGTAATGTTTTGAGCTAATGGGCCGCAGCACATTCTTGGAAGCAGTGCAAAGGACGGTGCAGAGCTCTCTTGCTGAATGTGGAGGTGCTAATTTGATTATATGACTTGTGGCTGAGCTTAAGAAATGTTAACAAAGGAAATTAAACCTCCTTTTGGGTAAAAGGATTCTTGGGTCTGACTTTTGGGAGGAAAAACTTGCTGAGGAAAATGCAAGATAGAATAGATGGCAGAAGTGAAGACAAATTGTGCAAAACTTAACAAAAGGAGCTGCTGGGTAGAAAAATGGATTAGTGCATGCAAGACATCAGGCCAAGACGAGTAAAGACCTGGAACCAAAAATGAACTAGGGACTGTATTTCTATTTTCAGTGTGAGGTCTTGGTCCATGATTTGACAAATCTAATGAGAACGCTGTACAACAATGTTACTGATTACGGCACATTTCTCCCTATAGATGCACAGCAAGCTCACCTCTCAAAGCCCACGATTTAGACCTTTTCACTCACTCATGCCCGCCTCTGAACTGACCATTTCAACATGAAGGGTAGAGGGAAAAAAAGCCTGCAGGGGTCAGGTGAAGAACAAAGCGTTTCAACATTTCAACGCCTGGTATTAGTTGAAAGAGAGACGACTATAAGTTAAGGATTCCCACTGAGAAAGTCCTCGGTCAAATTGGACTGGGCAGGAAGAATGAAAGGGCTTGTAAGAGAAAGATATATAGGGTTGTTTAAAAGATGTGTGGATTGGATTGACCATAAAATGATAGTTCTCAGAGAGTAACAATTACAGAGAAATTCTGTTCTTTAACTAACTGTAAATAAAAGTAATAAATCATGTTTAACTTTTTATCATGTCTAAAACCAAACTAGTAGTATACTAGAAGTAGCCCCATTGTAGTTACCCATTTCAAAACCCAAGAAAACAATCAAGGTAGTATTTCCTGTCCCAAGCTTCGATAAATAAAGAAGGTTCTGTAAGGAAGGGCATCTGATACAAAACTAATGCCTAAATATTTTACATATTACTTTATACTGTACTTCAACATTTCTGCCCACATTTTCAATAAAGAAAACTGCTCATTCATGCAACAAAGGTAAAATTTTGTGTTACAACTGGAGAAATATAAGTCAGTTGTTTGCGTGCAGTGTATTTCAAAATGAAGATGAGATGTAAATCAGTTGTCTGTCTCCAACACAAACAAACATACGCCTGCACTTTCTATAATCAAACAGTAGTCAGGACTAAAACAAAAGCAGCAGACTCCCATCTCTTAACAGTGTAAACAGCATCAGCTCTGTGTGACAGGAACAGCTTCACTGCTTGATTCTGATTACAATTTTATCACAATATCAGGGCCTGATTGCTGCAGTTTACACAAATGATGTAGAATGATTGAATTTTAATCACTTAAATGTATAGTGCCATAGAACAACATATGACAGCAAAGTTCTGTGCAAGTGATATTGTGGAAGTAGTTTGATTTTCTTTTGGTCTGATGGTTCATATTTTGGACGAACTTATGTACTTATAGATACATTTTACTCCTCTCCATTTTAGAACTAAAGTGGAACTGTGCTATTGATTTGATTACCATATTCAAATAATTACATTTATTACACCTACCAATTCAAAACACACAATCAAGACAAAAAGCATTAACTCTGAACTGTGTTTTGTGCACACACAATTCCATAAGTCAAAAAGCTGCAAGCAATTTGGTACACAATAATGTAGTTTTACCTGACTGTGAAGGAGCTGTGTGGTGTGAGGCTTGGGAGAAGGTCGACTGCAGGATGGGGTGAAAGGTCAGCAGTGAGGGTGAGTCCTGAACCTTCCAGTATCAGGGTGACATGCTCCGGCAGAAGCTCGGTGGTCTCTGAAGTGAATGTGACCAGAAGAGGCTGGCCGTAGCTATGGATGTGGCTACCCAGGAATTTTTCTGGAGGAGAAAGGTCAAAGGGCAGATGTATCACCAGTATGCAAGCCAGATGAAGGCTTTTGCAGACTAATTGACCTTAGTTACTAACATTTTAATTGTATATTTAATTGAGTATTTCTTCGCTCTTCACACATATATAGTTTATACTCAGAATGATTAGTATAATTGTGATAATTAAAGATAAAAAAAAACAACAATCAGTATCAATCAAAATATAATTTAAAGCCAAGGGATGTAACATTTTAGCAAAAAAATGGGCTCCTTGCATCTATGGAAATGTTGTATGAAGAAGTATTTATCTCTATGGAGAATGTTCCGAAGTATGGTTTTATCTTTCTGTTTCAATTGAATCATGCAGGTGACATGCCAAATTCTTTGACGAAAGTAAAGAGTAACTACAGCCATTAAAAATATAGATTTGTTTTATTTTTTGTTGTGCTATCTAAGAAACTAAATATACAAACAGCTAAAACTGTCCTGTCTGGGTCAATTTTCTAATATGTCCTTGAACAAATGCTTGACAAAGTGGAGAACTATCTGGGTGGGTACGAAGATACCTGACAGGTTGACTGCTCTCTTGTTTTTGAGTCTAATCGTGTGTGAAGTACATCCCAAGCTCTTCTGGGGGTTGCAAGGGCTAAGGACTTGAGTGGGCGATTTTGCGTGGTGAGGGGCCTGTGGCATTGTTCACTGAGATCTTTCTGTGTGCTTTTGTAATAAAAGCCCAAACAGTAGCCTTGATCATCACTGCTTTGCCCTTTTGACATCCACAGCCCACACAACGACAACCTTCGGCACACCAGCTTTCATTTATCTGACCAGAAATGGCATTTGGGAAGTTGTATTTAGAGCTTTATTTTAAGACTTATATTTTATTAAGTGTGATATTGGTTAAGGTACACTTTATTGTCCCTGTAGTATAATTTCTCTGCATTTGACTCATCTTTTATTACCAGTGGGGCACCTCATCAGGAGCACAGTGCCAGGCCCGGGGACCCATGTCTATGATCTTGTTGCTATAGCCATGGTCAGGAGTAACTTCACTGGAGGACTGAACCTATTGTTCTTGTTTGGGGCTGAAGTGGTGAACCAGAGTGCCTGGAGGAAATGCACCCACAACCTTCTTGCTGTGAAACTTAAGTGTTAGCCACTCAGCCATCATGCATGCAGACATGATTTCATACTAATTTCACCAGACTATTCATAAGTTTCAACTTCCTGTTATATGCAACATTTAGAGGACTTCTTCCTACTCAAGAGATATATATATTTTTTATTTTAAATTGTTAATAGTTATATTGGTCCAACTATTTCATCATTCTGAAAATCATGGATACCCCTTTAATCTAACAAATACATATCTAATTTCTAAAAAGACAAAACTGTTAAAACTGCTGTGTTACAATTGTGGTTTTAAACAGATATCATTTCTTTTGTCTGCCAACCCAGTACACTCACAAAGAGAACCATTCGTGGAAGGAGAGTCTCTAGTATTGAATAAGGTATTAGGACGCATAATCTCAGCAAAGTGTTCCATTTCAAACCTGGCCAATATAACACAAGTGGTGTTGGAGAAAGATAATTACTTGGCCACAATTCAGCCAGCATAAAAATATGATGGAAAAATCCTGGCAATTCACCTGCATCTTATCGTCCACATGTAGAAGTCAAATATAATATTTGTGTTACAGTATTCACAATTTAATTGTCAGATTTTTTTTTTTTACTTTTAAAATTAAGACTCTTAAGTTTTGTCACAATTAATAAGGCTCCAAAGTCAAGGCATGAAGCCAAAAACAGCTCAGTTTGTGCTGAAAGCCCAATGAACACAAATGTTTAGTATTTCGCGACAGGATTCCAAATATTCTCAATATTAAATTCCAGCTGCAGCCTTTCACATAACCCCAAGCTTGATTTCTGTTTACAATACAACACGGAAGTACACCCGGGTCACATCTTATTTTGGGATTCATCCTTTTAAAAAGGCTGTAAGAAAAATGAATATGTTGAATTTGTATCATTAATAAAGAGTGGCTTTTTCTTCCTAATAAAATATGGCAGTATTTGCGTCAGTGGGACTTTGTAATCAATATAAAAGACAGACAAAATTAAGCCAATTCATCTGAGGAGTGAATAAAACACATAACTCATCTTCTTGATCAGTACATATTGATTGACAGGAATAAAAAGACGTATTCAGTCATTGAGGCTCAGCATAAATCCAACCAGACTAAATCCAATTAGACATGCATTACTTTGCAAATCTTTTTGATATACAACCATGTTCAAGTCATATTAAAAAGAAATAAAATGAAAAAAATAAAAATATAATACTAATACTAATACTAATACTACTACTGCTACTAATAACAATAATAATAATACTAATACTAATACTACTACTATACTAATAATAATAATAATAATTATTATTATTATTATTAAAATAATACAAAAAAGAGATAATTAATACAGGTTAATGTCAGTTATGGAAAGGTGATGATGCAATAAATAGTTTGCCAGAAAGATGAATTCTCACAATATTTTTGAGTTCACATATTTCTATATGTGAACCAGACTCCAGCTGTTGTGATTGCCTGGCCCTTTTAGAACTTTTCACAATCGCTTTCAGCAAGAGCCTCAATTCAGAATGCTACACATATAATTCTGGTGTGACCCAGATCACCTTTGGACAAAAAGACATTTTGAATCTGTGTTTGTCAGTTGTTTACTATGTTGCATAATTTCTATTATGCAAGTTACACCTATGTATGTCTCATCTTATTTTTTACTGAAGTAACATGTACAACAAGATTTATTCAACAATGCACACAGTGTTGCCCTCAGTGGAATATTTCAATTGGAACATGTACAACAGATTGAGAACCATTGGTATAGACATTTTTCACCATCTGGTTTTCACAGTGTTGCTGTCCAACTGTAGATTAAGATAGATCTTTAGAATCCAAATGGTTAATTTGTTTACCGATGCCTATCTGGGTTTATAACCTATTAAATAATAATAACAGGCTATGATTTTATTTCTACTATTGATTGAGTGCAAGGTCTTTGCAGGTGAATATCATAAGGTATAATGATTCCTTTAAAGTAATATATGGATCCTAATGAATTCTAGTGGGAATTGTTAATCATTCATTATTTATTTTACACTATTCATTTAAGTGCATGTCTCTGATAGAGGCTCCATTTTGGATACAGCATAAGGTGCATAATTACATTTGGGGAACACAATAACAATGAGTAATGTACAAAACTCTGATTCAAAGAAAATAAAAGTCAGGCAATAAAGTGATTAATAGGAAATACACAGCATACCCCTTGCATAACGGTGGGTAATGAGCCCAGTAATACTATTGTGTGACTAAGCTAATATTGTCCTCTGAAGGACTCCCTTATGGTTACAAGTGAGAATGCGTTCAGAGGAACTAAAACTCCACAGCCATTACTCTGCTGGAGTCTGCCTTTTATTACTACAGCTTCTCCACTTATTTTTTCATGTCTGTCTATTTTTATTATGATTATTTTAAAGGGAGCAGCAGAGGTGTAATTAGTTAGGAGCTAGCCACTGGAGATCTGATATTCCCAAACTAATGAATCATATGCCCAACAAAAAAATATTTATGTGAAAATATCTATCATGATTGATTAACCTTCTGCATTACAGAACAAAACACAATTTGTTTCACTGTTACTATTTGGAGGCCTAATATTGCACCACTGTAAATACATGCCCATTATTATACTTCCGCATAGGCCCAGTGGGGTTGCTTTGGAGACTTAGAAACAAGGCTGGAACACATTTGGTACACATTGGAATACTGTGTGTAAAACAGCAATAGGTGAATTGTGTGGTCTCATATAACCCAGGGCTTTGAATTTTGCTATGCATGACCTGAGGTTCACTGCTTCTGTCCCTGTTGACTCTCTTCCAGGAACGCATAAAACTTACAAAGCGAGTGATAGATGCTGATATAACTTTTAGAGAATGGTGGAGAGGTTTGCTATAAATCTGCTGGTTTAAACTGGGACCTGACAAAATTAAATCAACTTTGCTTCAATTAAATCACTGCCTTCCAAAAAATGTCCCAGAGACACAAACACTGACTACTGCAGGCCATTTGAGGGCAACTGCTGCATGGCCAAACTTAAAACTTTCAAACAGGTCCAACAGTGTCAAGACATACTGTCTGGCACTAATCTGTGGTGCCTTCAGGCGATGTACGTGAGCAGAAAACCCATCTCCTGAAGGCCACCAGCTATCACATAGTCACTGGAATAGTCACTACTTTATGCATAGACTGTTCCACATACTAATGACATTCAGCCAAGATGCTGAAGGAGCTGGTTTATCTTGGACATCACTTGAAGCCACACGGAGCTAAGATGGAGATAGAAGAAATGCCATATTGCTCCTAATTGGGTTTAATAAAAGCATTTGGATGCCACAGGGCTTAGCAAGATTTGGCAACACAACAACTTTGGTGGAAAAGCAAATTTATTTTAGTTCAATCTAGCAATGCAACACACAAGTGGACATATTTTTATGATAACATTTTTTTCTGCCTGTCGCAAACTATCCATATGCATACACTAGTAAGGGCAGGAACTGAACCATCAACAAACTGATTTGAGCCAAAATTATTTGGAAGATAATTCCAACCAATAAACAACAAAAAAAAATGAAGAGATTGAGAATCCCTACTCAACGTCCTGGGTTGTATTCCAACAGAGTTAACAAGTGCCAGTGTTTTCACTTTGTTTTCTCCATCTTTCTCGTTTATATGATAGACCCTGCCTCTTTGTAACCTCTCCTGACTCTTTCCCTTTTATTTACCTTTCCCCTTTTCAGACTGCTGCATTTTAGAGGACAAGGCCAAAGGAGTCGATTGCATGTGGTGCGAAGGGTAGCACTTGTCTTGTGTGAAACTCTTAGCAGCAATTGCCTCTTGAGCCAGAATGACAGGTAGCCTGGAGCTGCTCTAGTGGATACTGACTCTTCTTTGACTCCTCCACTTCTTAACTCCAAACAAGAGCAGTGGCTGCCCTTGGTGTATACTATCTTTCTTTATGCATATTATTTGTGACAGCTGAACATCGCTGTTCTTTGTAATATAAACTTACTTCTGTATAAGTCATCTAGTAAAACATGGCACAAAGCAGACATTAATATTACCATCATTTAATAATGATGACATGAAATATTGTTTTTAAAAAAATGTAATATTGTAAAAAGCAAGAAAGGGGAAACTTATACTTCCTGCAGATACGAAATAGAACCACATAGCAAGCCCTTGAACAGATGGTGGTGAATCCACAGCAGCCACCCCCTTAAGCGTGAGCAACACTCAGCCAACACTGCCTCTCTGTCCGACTGTCCGATTCTTGTGGCAATAAAGTATCTTGGAGCAGAGTCAAAGCAACTGTTTAGCGAGGTACTACATGTTTGCCTATGATCGTGTCTGGCAGATGCAGTCAAGTGTTCAGTCTGTCGAGTCACCGCAGGGACCCAAACCACGCTGCGTGTCAACTGTCAAGCAGATGTCTGGGATCCATAAGAGGACCCTGCACATGCCTCTCAAAGATAAGCACATTGCCTGCGTCTATATGTGACCCGCGCTCATGATATTGTAGAGTATAAAGGGAAGGCCGGTTTATGGGGGCTTTATATATGGAACATCATATGACAACATGAGTGACATTCTGATTGGATTTAGCTAAACTAGTGGGATGAGAAGTAAGAAAAGACGTAGGACGCAGAAAGGTGTCACTGGCTTCATCGTCAAAAAGAATGTGATTTTTTTATCCGACACAATTGCCAACCCAAGTTCAGAAAATGTCAGCGAATATGTGTGACAGCTTGTCCATTGTGGCATAAGCTGATATTTTTAGCGCTGGTTGAATTCTGTAATTTTTTTCTTATACACCAAATCCGATATAAAAAGAAAATGATTGAATCCTGTCTATATTTGGGACAGCTCTTGCTCAGAACCATGGTAATGAATGCTGTTATGTGGATTCCAATAAGTACCATTTGGTATGATGTTGGACATGACCATTGCCACTCAGAATTATCTGTGACTTTGTATATTCATAAAGACTAAGTCTGCCTTCATAAGTCATTGATAGGTGATAACAAGAAGAGGATGTGTGCTTTTATGAATTATATTTTAAAAATACACTTAACTGCACTCCCATCTACCTCACTGCTTCTCCAGAGTTATCTGCTCCTTAATGTTCATCACCTCACTTGAACTACAACTGCAACTACAACTCCCCGCTGCTCCTCCTCTTTGTCTAATCCGCACCCAGTCTGCCCAGTTTAAGCCACCATTGTAGATGCACGGCCACTCCTTTTTTTTTTTTTTTAGGTATTTGTTTGGAACAGTCAAAGCCAAAGCTAAAGCTTAATTTCCATACATTGTCCCAAAGGGCTGGGGTCATAAAGGTCTACACCCTACTTCCTCCCCAGCGCCCCCCTGGCTTCTCATCCTCTCATCATCCCCAAGGTCTGAGTGCCAAAGATAACTTGTTGGAGCCATATTACAACTGTATTTTGTGTTTATATATCCATCTGCCACTGTGTAGTGCTGCATGGATTTGTTATGTAATTGGCTGCCTATAAAAGGGAAGGAAAAGGTGCATTAAGGTGTTGCAATCTGGAGGACAACAGTCTTTTGCCATTGTTTTATGGAGTGCTCAGATCTGTATATATATTGTGGATATTTGCCAATAAATATTGTGGTATACAGTATTTTCTAAACTCTTTTGTTAAAGACACACATCTGAAACGCCACACATGCTGTAGCCATAGCAGACCTTGCACAAGTTTTGGCCAGTACATAAGTCAGTTATTCAGTAAAGTGTATTAAGTCTGTCTGAATCTCTTCAGATTGAAATGTAATTATTCATGAAAATTACAAGGTCAGTATGTTACTAGTCTTACTAAATAATTGTATCAAATATTCAATATATGGCTCTTGCATATGTCATGTTTCTATAAACTACTGTTTATCTGAAGTCATTGTCTCTGATTTTGGGGGGTATTAAATCTCTAGGATGAGGAGTTAATGGGATTGCTTCTGTTTTGCTTCAGGCTTTGGGTTGTGCTGCATCTGGAGAGGCTGTTTAGTTTGATGTCTTGAAACCGACTTAGTGGCAATGCGAAGAAACCAAGCCAATTTTAACTTTGTTGCCTCTCCAATACAGCCAGAACATCCAATTCCATCAGGACTTTGCTGCCTGACCACTTGATAGAAATGGGTGCTAAGTCGTGTGGCGAGCCAGGCTTATTCCCTTATCGGCTAATAGCTCGGATAAGACGCTGTAAGAAATGGTGTCAAAATAACTATTGTATGACTCCTTGCCAAATGCCCTGATTAAAAACAACATGAGCAGGCTATGGCTATTACACATGTTTTGATGTTAATTAAATGTTCACTTAGTCAAGTGATAATTGCAGCAATTTTTTTTAAGGACAGTTTGTTCAAATTTCAAACAATTTTCCTTTGGAACATATATATTCACATTTGCCCCAGCCTGAGGTAACAATCTCTTCCAGTTATAGTCTAATATATAACTCACCAGGAGCTTTGTAGAAGCCAGTATCTTCTTCTCTAAGAGGTAGCAGGTAAACTTCACCTTCTTTCCATAGCAGAGGGTAATCCTTTCCCCCTGAGAATAACCCGACCCAACCGTCCTGATCTGCAAAACAGAGGATGACTTAGTTGTGATATTTATTTATAAATATAAATAAACATGACATTTAAGATATTACTGCATCTAAAATAATAAAGCAAGTTAAACCCCACATTTTATTACAACTTAAGTAAATTAAAAAGTCCTACTTATGTGATTGTAAAAAAAACAAACAAACATTAAGGGTCAATACGTTTCATGCAGTTAAAAAGTTGTTTTCCCATGCATTTTGGTGTTTCTTTGAAATTCTTGTCTGACAGCATATGATTTGTGCGCACTGTGCGCTCACGTCAGTTTTGATAAATCCTGCAGAGCACCTCTTTTTTGTCGTACACCAAATATACACACCGATTTCGCCATATGGCAATTTCGTGAATGCAGTACGGCTGGTAGGGACAGAAGGGTGTCCAGTGTAAAAATCTACTGTGCAACTGTGCAACAGAAGCCACAAGTGACTCTACCTACATTATATGGAACATGTTATTAGAGCAGGAAGATTTGCAGTCATTTAAAGAACAATCAAAACACATGAAAACATATCAGACATTGCAATTACAGTCATTACCCTCTATGAAGTTGGAAGTGATGTTGAAAGCTCTGTAGTGGCTGGATGAAGAACAGGCCAATGAATGGCCAAAGCAGAAACATGCTTGACATCCCGCTGGGTTAATTTGTTGGAGGTCAAAATAGCCTGGTTTGCATCTGCAAACAGACAAAAGCACTGTATTCATACAAGAGCAATTCAATGCAACTGTTTGGCATAGCCAAGTATAAATGTTATTCTTGTAATATTCTATCAAACATAATTGTGATTTATTACAGTTAATCATAACGATAATCAAGGATGGCAGTGTGGCAGTCAATTTGAGTCCGTAGCTTGGGTCCCCTAACCTGTGGTCTGCATGTGTGAAAATGGAGCAGCATTCAAGTGCTTCACTAGAAGTGCCACACTAGTCACATTGCCAAGGGGAGTACACAGTTCAATGAGGCATAAAATCGGCTAAAACGTCAACAAACAAGGTGAATATAATTGCGCCATTGTTTAAACCAAGGACTATTTCATTTTCTGTTTTAACTGAGTATTTGTCTCTTCTTGTACATGTTGCACTAACCAAAGCAGAAAGACAAAGGAAAAAAGTGAAACTTTAGTTAAGGTGGGTAGGTTTAATGGTATGGTCATCGTAGGTTTAAACTCAAAATTTAAGCTATAGCATATATATATATATATATATATATATATATATATATATATACTTGCCTGCCTATATATATATATATATATATATATATATATATATATATATATATATATATATATATAAACTGAATCCTTACCTGTCACAGGTGTGTCCCTCAACATTTGGCTTACAGTTGCAATGTCCATCTGCAGCAGAGCAATGTCCCACGCTTCCAGTAATACTGCACCCACATGGCCTGAATATAACAACATTACATGACTCCAACATGTTCTGAGAATAAATCATAATTAGTACTGAATTAGTATGAAAAATATGAAAAGCTCACTATTTATTATAAGTATAGAAAAGAAAGTACAGATCTGTCACAAGACAGCTCTGACCAACTAGAAAATACATATAGACAGATAAAAATGAATTCATCATATATTTCTGTAAATTTGATACTGAAATAGACTGCCTAGCTTTCTGTGAAACACTGGTTAGTGCAAATTACTATTTTGCTTAATGTAACATAACCTAGATTGCTTGTAGACTGGTATCAAATTTAAAAAGAAAACAGTTAATTCTCCAGAGAAAAGATCATCAAATGTTACAACGATCTTACAAAATGTTGTGGCATGAGATTGTCTTGCCCTGTCCCTAGTCAATTTAATATTACCTGTTAAAATCTATTCTATCCATGCTCAGTGATGAATGACTTTTATTTAGTGCCTGTTTTAGTGAGGCTATTTCATAATGAGGTGCTAATACAAATAATTTAATTATCCAAAGGCAAACCCTCTCTTGTTGGCTGTGCTCCAGTGGACTGTGTAATTCACACCTCAACTCAACAACCACATTTTGCTGCATGAATCAGACATGTGCCGTCTGTTTGCACGTGAGGCTGTGTGTCTCCCTTCATTTTGGATGCAAAGTAGATGCACTAAAGATGATTTAATTACTAGTCTAGTATTGATGCAGTTTTCTTAATAATGTATGTACCAATATGCTGAACATATAGAGGATATCTTTGAAGAAATCACAAAATCAATTATAGGCCTATAAGGTTTTGCTTGACTGGTGTTCCTGAGTTGTCTTTACCTTCCCTCTGCTTTCCCTAAAATATGTATTCAGTGATAAAAAAAATGATAAAAAGGCAAACAGTCATTGATATGCAATTCAACACTAGCACAAATTAGCATTCATGCAGTAGGTAGAGGGTCAGAGAGAGCTAGGATAGACTTCTTATGAATATCAAACCGACTACACACGCACACCCACACGCACGCACGCACACAGCATTTAAACATTTACATTCAGCTACCAGTCAGTTCATGCACTTTCTATCAGTGGCCCTTACAGCAGCAATAAAGACCACGTTTTAAAACAAACAAACCCTAGAGTAAATGTACTAATCAAGCATCAAAGTAAATAATTTGTTAGAAGCATCGAGTGTATTTTTTTGCTAAGAGTAGATTTTCTTAAAGACTTAAAGATTCTTTGATTGACTCCTGCTACCAGCGTCAAGCAAGTAAGCGCCACATCGATCAACTCAGTCACGTAGTCACGTAGCTATCTTGATGAGAAAGGACTGAAAAGGAAAATAAGATTTGAAGATGACAGGTAGGCAAAAAATTTCACCGTAGCCAATGGATGGATTAAAAACTGAAAGGCTCGGCAGCACATGGGGTGGAAACAGTGTAATAAATAAGCTAGCAATAAAGCTAACACTGCTAAACTCAACGCCACCATGCAGTTTACCACCAAGTGTACTTTCCTTCATTCCGTGCATTTGGCGACATAGTGTGGTACTGTAGCTAGTTGCTAATCGGGGTCTTTGTTAGTTTCTTGTTGTGCCTGTGGATTAGTACATTTTCTGTTCAAAAAGTGCTCAGATTTAAAATAAAACCACTCACAAGTGCACTGGAAGTGAGTTTATTGTTGATGATTACCATTCAGATTTACCATTGTGAAAATCAAGCCTGCGTTATACATTTAGAGACAACAAGATGTTTTACTTTGTGAAATACACAGCGTACACATTGTCCCATGTGACTTTGTATATTGTTATACTCTAATGTGCATGTGTATAGGTTGGACAGAAAACAGCCTTTACTGGCATTCACAAAAATCAACGCTCACTCTTTTGAGGAGCCATGATGATTTATGAAAAAATGACATGCACATTGATTGCAGCATGCATAATGAATATTGATTACACAGTTAGCAACCATAAAAGTGTAAGATAAGGTGTAATGTTGTGACACATGGATATATGCTTTTCCACAAACCACCTACAGCTCTTTTGAGTGATTTCTTTTTAAAAAAAATACTGAATGGGTTACTTTTTTTTTTTCCCCAATTCTTGTTTTTGTGTGCAGTACAGCTCTGCAGTTGTTAAGTAGGCTACTCATATCTCCCTGAAAAGAAGAAGGACCGATTCACAGCAGTGTCACACAAACAAATATTTGTGATAGCATTTGCTATTTTAATTAAGTCTATAAAATTCACAGCTTTTTGTGGTTAGAGCATACACAATTATGTTGATTAACTTTGCTACTCTTAGTAAGATTGGATAAGAGTTTTTAATACCATACATGTTGCTCACCTGCAGCCACCAAGGCCAAGAGAATGAAAGCCGGGCAAACAGGTGTCACACTTGTCCCCAGTCACCCCTTCTTTGCAGACACAGCTTCCTGTCTGATCGCACTGCTGACTGACTGAGCCTGGGAAGACAGAAGAGGGCACACAGGCGGGGAGAACAACAGCAGAATGGTAAGATCTAAATTCCATAGCTCTGCATAATTTGTAATCCATGTATTATTTTGTAATTGTTAACATATACATATACATATACATATGCATGTACATGTACATGTACATATGCAGCAATATATAATATTAGCTGCACAATGGAACCAGCTTGATTGACCACAACCATCACCCTATTCACACCGGCTTGTAAAATAAGGAATCATGTGTGCACACATTTTACAGTTCAGCAGTTCAAATTTAATGACCGCTCTGTCTATATTGATGTTACTTATGGGAATTGATTAACAGAAACAGTGTCATATTTTTCTGTGCAAAAATAATGGTGTCTGGGTGAGTTTGCTTTGAGCATTCTAGTTTTTCTCATCAACTCAAAACATGCCCTGGTAAAATCCTTCAGATAAGGTTGTCCCGACTCCAGAGCTGTGGGCCCACCGCCCCAGACAGGTTGCCCCAACGGCATTGAAAAATAGGTTGAATGTAGACACATTTAACAACAATAAAGTGGGGACAATAAAGTGTAACTTCATCTTAACCTTAAGTGTTTTTCATGATGACTAGTAAATATTAAATGGCTTTAATGAACCTTTTACATTCACAATTTGCAGCTATTAATCCATTTATTACAGAAAGATTTATTATGAAATAAACATTGTTTTCACCGTTGATATTGCAATTGCATGGAAGGCAGACATCATCTGGGGAGATCCTGTAGTGGTCCTCTTTACAGCTTTCACAATGGGGTCCCTCAGTGTTATCTCTGCAGTTAAGGCAGCGCCCCCCACTGCCCGTGCTGCGGTACTGTTCCATGTCAAACACACATTTGTCTGATCTCCCGCTACAGTTGCACTCTGGGAGGGGGAGATAGAGATGTGGAAGAAAGGATGCACAAGAAGAAAGCAAGAGGTCAAGTGGAGAGTGAACAGTCACAAGGAAAGAAAGGTACAACAAAAAGACATCAGACAAAAATAGATCCACATGGAGACTGAGCAAGGCTATATGTGTGAGAGAGATTATGTGTTCTGGGATTGGATCATAATTTAGAGGCTCGTTGCTAATCTCATTTCACGCAGGCCTAATGAGGAGCCAATCGGCTGTCAGGGGGCACTTAGATAACAGTAATTCATGTTTATACAAGAGAAAATTACTCAGCTGATAACGCACCATCACAGCTCTCATACCCTTCAAATCAAATCCCTCTTTAGTTTACCCGTTACCCTGAGGGCGGATTTACGTGAGAATTGCAGATTTTATTATGAACCCTTCTCTGTGTTGTTCTGGAATGAGATGAATATTTCCCCATGTTAATAAAGTGTCCCAGGGACTAAGATCATTCGAAAGACTGCTGAAACAGAATATAAACCGTTTACATTTCAGGACTTGGATAATATATAGGAATGATCAGTTTAATCTGAAATAGGACCATAAATGTGATCTCCTTCTCATTATGACATTTTTGATGTATATGAGCTGTAAAGTATTTTGCATATCATTTAGTTGTTTACATTGTCTGGTGTCTGGATTTTGTTGCTCAGTTCAAGTTGAGAGAGAGTCACTGTTTTTGAATGCAAAACAGCTGATCAATTAAAGTAAGAGTTTAAATTATGTGAAAAGAATATGGTTGATGGTTGCAGTTAAAATGAGGAACTCAGCACATAAGCTTTTCGTTTGAGTTCACTGACCATTTTTTCCAGCATTTATACTAAAACTAAAAATACAATAATAATAGTTGATTTCATTTACATTTCTTACATGTGTCTTGTAGCAATAGTTGGTGTGTGCTTTTCTTGTGATACATAGATGCTGTTCTGACAGGAAGAGACACTTTTGGAGAGCTGCTGCAGCATGACTCGGCTCTGATTGACGCCAGTGCACAAGGGGAGCACCAATAGGACGTGTCAACTCTCATTCCTCGTGTGTTTGCTGTGGCAGCTAGTGGTGCTGCCACTGCCGGTCAGGTAAGCTGATAATGCTGTCAACAACAAACCAGACTGTGTCAAGTTTCCTTACATAGGTGTTGACTGTATGTGTCACTGCGCTGAGGGAATGCTTTTAGTTGATCGAACATATGACCTGTTTTTATTCTCACTACTGTTTGGAATGGATTTTAAATAAGAATCTGTTTGTAATGTCCTGCCCTTGCTATTTCATACACAGTATGTAGTCCCCATTCATCCCCTCTATTATTTTACGATTCTCCTCTATTTATGAAAAGAAACAACATGGTATGTTTTTTTTTGGAGCTTAGAAAGACAAATTCTGTAGTAGGGCTGGGTGATATGAAAAAAAAAAAAGAAAATTATCACTTTTTTTACATCTTGATTGATGATGGCTTTTTAAATTCCATTTGTCTTGTCAAATAAAAATGGCCCTGAATATAAATTTCCCTAACATAAACAATACTAGGTTTCTTCTAAACAGTGCTCCATATGACATGTTTTTGTGAACCTCCATTAAAAGACAGCTTATCATTGATGATTAGAAATGACTGAATCCCATCTAAAATGTGACTATTGCACAGCTCTATTCTGTTGTGAAGAATAATACTTTTGTTTAGGCTTGATATGCTGTGTAGAAAGTTATCAGATACTAGTTTTAGTGCCCACCCAGTGAAAGTGCAACAAGTGCACTGCTGTAAAACAATCCTGCTTCTGTACATCCAAGATAGAGTTAATGTGAAAATTAAAAAGTTAAGTAAACTCTACATAAAGCATCACAGTAGCAGTTTAACACTCACCATATTATCAGTGGGGCTGACCTTTGGCCGAGGCTTGGGATGAAAAATAATTATGCCACGTCATGTATTTGGTGACACTGAATCACTTAAATTCACTTTCACTGATTTAACTATTCAGTCTTTCAGTTTGTACAACATTTTGCAATGTGTGATTTTATTCCTTGTACTTTTATCCTTTGAGTGACAATATCAACCATATTATTTATAAAGGCCTATGTTGTGTTGTTAAATTCACTTCTTTCAATGTCCCACTGCTCCAGTAATCATATAGAGGAAGAACGTGCATACTTAAGTTAATGACAGTTACTCATTGCCTTCATCTTAGAACAATAAGAAAAAATGGTGGACAGAACCTCTGTCACAAAGCACAAAAGCACAAACACCCCGCAGACTCAATCATTTCTCATTTTAACTAAAATTTTACTGAACAAATGAGATCTGCTCTGACAGCAGAACACCAGCAGAGCTAAGAAATGGAATACTGAATTTATTAAGTAGTAGAAAGCTTTGGGCATCTGTGGCTTTTTGAGTTATAGATGTGTTTAAGACAGAAACAACCTAAAAATATCTCTAAGGGTCAAGGCTTTGATACATCAAATCCTAGTCTTGTAGACCCTATTGTGTGTGGATGGTGGTGGTTGAATGGAGCACTGACACAGAATTTCTTTGTAATTCATCTCCAGAGTAGCAGTGGACACAGTATTAGCTTACTTTGAATCACTCATATAGCCACAGCTGCTGAATCACTTAAGTAGCCACTGCTGTCTTATGGCTGAGGACTGCACCAATCTGTCTATCGCCAATCAAAAATTACATTTCCTGTACAGATGAGGCGTTGTCTTAATAAAAGCTTTGAGCATTTCTACTCAGCAAATTGTAAACTTAATTTACTAATATACTTTTGTTTAATATGCTCACTATTATTTTATTTTAGCTCTGTGTTGCTTTTATGAAAAAAAAAAATTCTTTGTGGACACTGCACTGGGCACAGAGACACATAATTTGATGGATGAAGCATAAAGGGCTTAAATGAAGTGGAAGTGTACTGACAGGTGCCAATTTGCAGTTTTGAAATGGAGGCAGATATTGTCACCACACTAACGACCGCTAAACTCCCAAAACATTCTTGTTTTCTTGAGGCTTCACCCAATAGTGACTATGCTGTTTGTCTTAATCTATAAAGAAGAAAAGACAATCATTATCCCCCCTGGCTAAACCCGCAGCCTTCACTTAAATCAGTGGTGACTAAGAAAGGGTGGAATGTTTTTTTTATTTAAGAACAGTCTGAAGCTAAGGCCACAACCACATCAAACAAAACTGTCATGAACACCTGCAGCAATTTCCTCCAGCTAAAATGACTGTGGTCTGAAAGTGAACTGTCTGAAAGAAGTGTCACTCAATCATACCTACATCACACAATTTCAGACATGTAAGAGCCTCAAGAAATCTTGCACGCCATCAGTTTCACAAAAAGTAAATAGTAAATGATAAATAGCATTGATTTGAAATCTTCTGTTGCTGTGCGTTTTTGCCCATTTAAGAAATTTGCAAAAGCGCTATTGTTGTATTATGACATTAATGGTTAATAGCAAAATATAATTGGAAAAACTAAGTAGTTTGTATGTCAGTGCTAACCGTATGCAGACACTCATTTGTGTTTTTGTTTGCTTCTGTAGCTTTCTAAGCCTTAAAAAGGTCACACGTCTGATATGGTTTATCTGGGATGGTAGAATGCAGTTGTTTAAAAACACTTGACATTTGGGCCACATCTCTTTAAAATACTTGCTGGCTTATTGAGCAGCAATAATGGTCCTTTTAAATGACTGCCATAATTGTCCTGTCTTTGATTCTGCTGTACCATTCAAAATGTTGTATTGTGTCATCATAATTAGAGCTGAAAGTTGTGCTTAAAAAGGAGTCTGAGCAAGCTTCTTTCTCCAATCGACTTGGATACAAAAGACACATGATTATTCTTTGTCAGTCTGTAATTGGGAGAGTGATTAGGCCTCGCCTTACATGCACAGCCTAGTTATTTGGTATTGTTTGACTGACCATTAAAAGATCCTAATGGTTTTGGATGTTTTTTTTTTTGTTTTTTTTTTATGGTTTTAGGGAGTATAAGTTTAATTGGTTTTAAAAAACAAAAACAAAACAAAAATACAAGAACACAACAACAATATACGCTCATACAAAGTAGGTCTCACTGTATGTCCACAGAGGACAGTTCTGAGAAGAATTATTGAATGAAAATGCCCTAACAAAATGCCTGTGCCTGTGATTAGTGTGCAAATAGCTAAATTAAGTTGTCTTTCACGTCTGAGTATGTGATACTTTGGGGGAATGTGCTACAGAAAAAGAACACCTAGGTTCTGATTATTTAGAAATGAGATAAAAAAATGAAGATGAAAGTGTTTATAATTGAGAGGTGATGCCAGGTATCATTGTTGAGCCCTCTGGTTGTTGTGGGTCCTAAGATAAAATGTTAATCAGAGAAATTGTTAGTATGAACTAACTCTACCTTTAACCACTGACATCACAGTGTTGAAATACCCTCTGTCATTTTTTATACATTGGAATGATACAATATATACAACAATCTTGCGTAATGAATGTCTCTTGGATAAGCATTCAATGTGACATTTTGTGTATATGGTTCTTGTTAATATTGATAATAAATTACTTTCCATATGCAGGGCATAAGGCGCCCTGGTAGAAGGCAATTATATTATGTCAGTTGAATTTCACAGTGCCTGGGGATTTGGCAGTGCTGATGTGTGACAGTGTCCCAGGAGCAGAACTCACTCAAACACTGGTTGGCCGAGTCCCCTGTGGCCCGAGCCCAGGGCCTGTCCTGGTAGAAGGGTTGACATCTCTGGCAGTCGGCTCCCTCTGTGTGATGCTGGCAAGCACACACCAGGTCTTCACTCTCTCCCTCCACACATTCGCTGGCATGGCCGTTACACTTGCATCTGAGGGGTTACACAGACAGGGCACTCCACTTCAGAGCAAACACAAGCACATGTTTAAGTGGAGCAAAAGAAAGAGAAGGGACTGGTGGTAACTACAATGTGTTTAAAATGTTGTAGAACAAAATAGCTTTTTGGTGTTCCCAATAACAATATTCAGTGATTATATTATATTAATATTATATATATTTTTTTAAATGACAAAAAAACATTTATGTTCAGAAATATCCCTTAATGCCTTTGTTTGAACAATTGCATTGCAAGTTATAAACTCTTTTTGGAGCTTTTGTAACATTTTGAGTGTACTCTATATTCTTATTTGCATAAACAGTCATTTTGATATTATCTTGGGGGGTAATATATTGCCTACCACTCTGCTGACTCATTTTCATTAAAGCTGTAAAAAACATCACTATAGGAAAAGGTGACAAAATGTTGTCTTTTGCCTCAGTGTTTAGCACAATATATGTAAAATGGCTGGTTCTCCTCTGGGCAATAGCAGATTTGAGTGACTTTGTGAGGTGTAAAGTATTTGTTTTAGAAAGCTATGCTACATGGCTAACGTGTTGTCATGGGCAGTCTCTCCCTCAGGTGTTGTGACACTGGCTTGTAATTTGTCTTGCTACTGTGCTGATCTTAAGTGTTTATGACAGGTGTCAGATCAGCTTTATATTCCTTCTGAAGGCTTCATCTCGACTAGTTAATCGTGAACTTATTTTGCAGTGCTAAAGTGCAGCCTGGTCCTTGACGCCATGTCCTATCTCATTACTGTGAGTAATAAAGCCCACGAACTCCAAAGAGGATGCTAGATTATCTCACAATTTTTGCAAATGATAGTTACTAGACAGATAGGAAGAAATATACAGAGCAAAGACATCCGATTTTTGTATTTGTATTTTATACTTGTATTAGATGTCTTTGTCAGTTTTTATGTTTTGTAAATTAACCTCTAAATCCAGCACGTTCACACAGCGTTACTATACTGAGTGTCCATTAATGGTTTATTTTCCATGCCCTTTAACTGCATTTCTTAATTTGAATTTCAGAAACTGACAATGTTGATGGGATGCTTGCAATTCTAATGTCAACAATAATAATAAAAATATTGCTAATATACCACAACATAATGATGGATAATGGTTTGCTGAAAAAATCAGCACCTGTAAATACAATCAGTGCTCAAGGTGTCACATTTAAGAGAAAGACATTTTAACAAAATCAGGTCTCGGCTCTTACCTTCCACCAACTGAAAAGTCCGAAATGGCATAGAAATACGAACGCAACACTTTGGCATCCTTGAAGAACTCATCTCCAAAAGTGTTAAGTCTGTCCAGTGAGATGAGCAGGTCTGTGGCGGTCACCCAATCCTGGACAAGAAATGAAAAGAGACCAAATGAGGGTGAGAATGATGTCCCCAAATGGCTTTTGAAGTCGAACACTTAAAATGTCTGGCTTACTTTGAAAGAGGCTACTTTAGTCATGGGTGTTTCTTGTGAGGCAGACAATGAAACTGTTATGTATTTAACAGAACAAAAGCTTTGAAAAGATTTGGTATGCACAGCCAAAACACTGTTTAAACATGGATTAAGAAAAACAAAGTTTTAAATTATTAAAAGAACAACATGCCCTGTTCAATGTACAACTCTTGGCATAGCTTTGAGATAGGATTTCAGCCTGTCAGTTTGAACTGGCTGCAAAGGTAAAGGTGAGGTGTAGCAAAGCAGGAGAAGAAAGTGAAGAGGAAGAGAGGAAGCAGGAAGTGCACTATGGGGCAGAAGATGAAAGTCAGGCCAGGTAGAAGGGAGGAGAAATGACAAAGGCACTAGTTTAAAACAAATAGATTGTGTGAGGAGTGTGCGTGTTCTCTGTGGCAGGCCTAAAAAGAAGTCTGTAAGGCTGTACATTTTGAAGCCTCTCCCCTGAGCACACTTTGATGTGGGAAAGGTGGTGGGAAAGAGAGAGACAGGAGCAGACGACCTCAGATTTTAAAATGTGCTCAGAGTTAATTCACAGCTTTCACAAATGTTTCAGTTTAGAATGAGCAGCAGTTGCCAATAAACAAACTTATTCGGTTAATACCTCCAGCACTAATTTATTTTTGTGAAATGCTTTTTGGGGAAAACCTTTAAAGATATACTGTTGATTTTCTAAACTAACTGTTGTGTGCTTATTCACTCAAACACTAATTGGTCACAGAAATTTACATAGTGAATTAAGAACCTTATTAAAAGTTGTGATTTTTGTACTTTAGTCAAATGAAGAGGGCAATAAAAGCCTAATTTACAAAATAAACATTACATTTATTTTAGTTCTGAGCATTTACATTGGTATATGTGGATTTAGATAGCATATTGATTCGAAAAGCTTAATGCCATTGTATTATCTCATAACACATGTTGCTGCACTAGCTGTTTCTCAGCGCTTTCTCCCTGTCTTTATCAGGGCTGCATCAGTCTTGCTTGAACAGAGCTTGTGAAGTGAGGGACCACCTGCAGGGTCCCATGATTGGTAAGAGGTCAGAGCTTCTTGGGTGAACATCTGGTGTTAATGTCTCACACATGTTTCTCTTCACGTCATCTGCATTCAAGTTGTCTGCAGTTTTACTCTGCTTGGTGCACATTAGCCACCTATTTGGTGAGTCCTTTTGACCAATGTAGCAGTCTCAAAATTATTAAAATTTAGATTCCAATGAATCCGACCACTGCTGTTTAATTTTAACTCAAATGACCATCCTGCATCCATTTTTATTTTCACTTTTCCTTCAACCAGCTCTTCCCCAGTGTTCTGTGCCAGAGTGCACTCACAATTCCAGACAGTTCCTATTGAGGTTTATAGAACTGCTATTTGGTCGTAAGCGTAAATACAGTGTTACAAAATTGAGTGCAGTTGGCGGCCATGCCATTGTTACGGTACTTCCTTATCGACTTTGGCCTCGCTTGACACAGCTCTGTCGACTAATGGGGTTTGGATGGTGGCAGATGACCTCGAGGCACTGCAATAGCCAAAGAAAACTGATGTTGATGCTACACTTTGTCTTACAACACCTGGGCAGAGCACACAGCCACCTACAGAAAACTTTGACCGAACTTTCCTCTTGGGTGTTTAAAATAGTCTAAATAATACAATAAATTGTTTCCTGGTTAAGTTAACAAAAACAAAAAAGCACCCTATTAGTACACTTAATCCAGTTCACTTATTTATACTATTACTTTGCAAAATATAAATGATGAATATAACTAGATAACCAGAATCTAGAGAAATGTAGAGTCCAGTCCCTATCAAGGAATTGGGTTCCAGAGCCCAAGGTGTGCGTGGAGGTGAGGCTGACTATATCTAGTTGTTAACACTCAACCTCCCGCACAAGCTCCGGCTCCTTCCCCCCAAGCAAGGTGACATTCCATGTCCCCAGAGCTAGTCTCCATGTCTGGAGATCCGGTCGCCAAGGTCCCTGCCTTCGACTGCCGTCCAGATCTGCACGTGCCCCATATGGATCCTCCCTTCGGGCTGAGCCTGGCCGGGCCCTGTGGGGGAAGGCCCAACCACCCGGCACTCGCTGGCGAGCACCCACTCGAGGCCTGATCTGAACCCAAGCTGTGTTCGATTATTGGACTTCTGTGCTAGATACAGTTTGTCCATAACGAACACCATGTTTGAGCACAAGGATGTCCATCAGTGCACGTGGCACCAGGATGCGTATGATCTGACCTCCAGCCTTGGACACTCTGGTGAAGAGAGGGGCAGAACTGTCAACTGATCACCACCTGGTTGTGAATTGGGTCCGCTGGACCCAATCTGTTCTCCTCAATCCCACCTCCGTCTTCTGAGGAGGAAGCCGAGGTTGGGGACTCGGAGGTGGACTCGTCGATCACCCTGTCTGAAGTCACTGAGGTGGTTGGCAAACTCCTTGGTGGCAAGGATCTGGGGGTGGAGGGAATTCGTCCTGAGTATCTTAAGTCTCTGAATGTTGTGGGGCTGTCTTGGCTGACACATCTCGCGTGGTGGTCGGGGACAGTGCCTCTGGACCGGCAGACTGGGTTGGTGGTCCCTCTGTATAAGAAGGGGGACCGGAGGGTGTGTTCCAACTACAGGGAAATCACACTCCTCAGCCTCCCCAGTAAGGTCTATGCCAGGGTACTGGAGAGGAGAATCTGGCCGATAGTCGAACCTCGGATCCAGGAGGACCAGTGTGGTTTTCGTCCTGATCGCAGAACACTGGACCAGCTCTACACTCTCCATCGAGTGCTTGAGGCTTCATGGGAGTTTACCCAACCAGTCCACGTACTTTGTGGATCTGGAGAAGGCATTTGACTGTGTCCCTCGTGGTGTCCTGCGGGGGGGTGCTCTGGGAGTATGGGGTCCGGGGACCTTTGCTAAGGGCTGACCGGTCCCTGTATGACCGGAGCAGGAGCTGTGTTCGCATTGCCGGCAATAAGTCAGACCTGTTCCCGGTTCATGTTGAACCCCGCCAGGGCTGCCCTTTGTCACCGGTTCTGTTCATTGTATTTATGGACAGAATTTCTAAGCGCAGTCAGGGGCCAGAGGGGGTCCAGTTTGGGGACCACAGGATCTCATCTCTGCTGTTTGCAGATGATGTTGTCCTGCTGGCTTCATCAAGCTAGGACCTGCAATGTGCACTGGGGCGGTTTGCAGCCAAGTGTGAAGCAGCTGGGATGAGTATCAGCTCTTCCAAGTTCGAGGCCATGGTTCTCGACCAGAAAAAGGTGGCTTGCCCTCTCCGGGTGGGTGGAGAGTCCCTGCCTCAGTCACATGGGGGGAGCTTGGAGTAGAGATGATTCTCCAGAGCTGATGCTGGCTCGGGCATGTGTTCCGGATGCCTCCTGGGCGCCTCCCTTGGAAGGTGTTCCGGGCATGTCCCACCGGGAGGAGGCCACAGGGAAGACCCAGGACATGCTGGAAGGACTACGTCTCTCAGCAAGTCTGGGAACGCCTCAGGGTCCCCCCTGGAGGAGCTGGAGGACATGTCTGGAGTGAAGAAAGTCTGGGAGTCCCTGCTTAGACTGCTGCTCCCATGACGTGGCCCCGGATGGAAAATGGATGGATGGAATCGGAATCTACTGTTTGAATTTATAAACTTAAAGGTGCACTTTGTAACTTTTTCTTGAGGGGTCTGTCAGCTGCTTGTTTCTATGGATATGTCATTGCTCTGCCTGGAATGTTCCACAGTATGGCATTAAACAGTTATACTTTACATTTATTCAATTAGAAGTGGTTTTATAGCTCAACAATACCTAGAACAACAGGCATTTTTCACAGATCTGACCTGTAATTTGGTCTGGTTTGGTCTCCATGAAGATAGAAAGCCATACTGTGAAACATTCTAGACAAAGCAATAAGATCTCCAGGGAGAAAAGCATTTGACAGACCATCCACCAGAAAAGTTACACAATGTACCTTTAAAGTTACATTCATATCTCCAAAGTCCAAATTAATTTTGTTAGTTCAAAGTCCAAATGACTATGTTTTTTTGGTTTGTGTTGTGGCTCAATGTATTGACATTCAATTAATTGTAAAAGTGCTTAATTAAAATTTTCTGATATTGTGCTCCACGCAACACAGCATGAGTCCTTTTTCATTCATCACTGAGAAGAGCATACAAGAGCATTAGTTATTAGTTTTGCTTGAAGAACCACTGCTAACTGTGCTAGAAAGAGCAGCCATACTTGCAAATATTAGTTTACAGCAAGGAAATACTTTCTTAAGGTTAATTAGCACTCAGTCCATTACTTATTATTTGTGCAAACCACAGCAAAATCTTAATTAACTTTGATTCCCAGCCTCATGGAATTTGGACGCACAATGCTGCAGTGATGCTGACAATGGAATAGGCTAGGGTGATGAGAATGGCAATTAGCTGATTTATATAAAGACAATCGCAAATGCACGATGATTAAGCAACTACACAGACATACTGTAACTTTGCTTTGATTCTCCTCCACTTCTCAAATGACCTTGTGTCAATCCTATTACTCCTTTCCCACATTTTTCTCTTTCAGTCATCCTTCCTCCAGCATATATTTTCTTGAACTCCAAAACGTCTAGCTGCAGGCAAAGTGTGCAGTGTCCCTCATTCCAAAGTTAATAACTTTTTAATTTAATTGCCTAAGTTCACTGTGCCCTCAATATGCATTTTCCCCTTTAACTCATTGTCATTCAACAGTGGTGCTCCAATTGGCCACACAGCCTTTAAGAGAAGCAGGCTGAGTGACAGAATGAAGGAGAGGGAGTGAGTGGACAAACTGGTGGCAAAAGAGACAGACAAACCATTTTAATGGATGTCTGAACAAATTAAATTTGATTTAATTGAGGCTTTCAATTTTAGTGTGATTATTTGAAAAAATTGCTTTAC